GTGTTCATACAAATGTTTTCCTGGACAAGGTGTAAAATATGTCCAAAAGTTCTGCATATCTGAGCACTTTCGGCTATTCTTTGAATTATAGGATGGATTTTCTTTTAAACAAATTAGACTATTTCTTTCTAAAGTCACTAATAGCAATACTGAACATGCAGATAAAAACAATAACAAAACAAAAGCCAAATACATGTTAACTATAAGAAAATACAAATTTTCTCTTAGAAATGTCATAAAGAAATACATTACCCCAATTGAGCTGAGCAAGAAAATTAAATTAATTATCTATTACAAATAATTTAAAATAGCTAACCTTATCATTAAAAATAACAGCACACCTGCAAAATCAAAACTACAAAGGACCAATATTTTTATGTTCAATTCAATGCCCTTAAGGAATTGTGTTTGAAAAAACTCATAAATAATTATATTATATATACATATAGATAATATATATATATATGACTCATTTAAATACACACAAAAACCTACCAAACTCCATTTTGAAAATACTAGTGAAAAATACAAGATCTTATCCAGATGTAAAAAAAAAGAAAAAATAATGGAAGCCCTGAAAAAAAAAAAAAAAAATCCAACACTCAATAATATGAACATTATGCTGACTGTGTTTGTTGAAATGTTTAATTATAATCAGAGATACATAAATATGGTCATTATGTTAAAAATAAAAATTATTGATAATGGTTAAAAGAATGGATGAAAGATGGTCTATATTTTGTGTCCAGAAACGTCCATTTATTGAACACAAAAAATTAAATAAAAAGCATAATCACATACCTTGGTTGTTTTTGAAACATGTATAGAAGAGGAATTACTGCCCAGATGCACAATATATATATATATATATATATATATATATATATAGATAGATAGATAGATAGATAGATAGATATTAGTAATGATAATAAGATTGTTTTTGCCTAAAAAACATCAAATGACTTATCTTCCAAAAGTGTATCAAGACACCATCATGTATGATTAAAGGGTTTATTAAATATATTAAATTCATTATTTATCATTTTAAATGTTACATAAAAAAATGTTAATATTGATGTCAACTAAATTATTAATTTATAAAACATTATAATGTGACAAAATTTGATCTGAAATTGTTTGATCATATATATTTATAATTTTGCTGTTATAAAAGACATAAAAAACTCAAGAAAGTAAGTAGACAGTTTGTTAAATATCAGACACATTGAAAATATTATATTGCAAATTACTGATGGTATTTTTGGTAAGTATATTTATTTAGATATTTATAAATATATTTATAAGTATATACATATATATATATATATATATATATATATATCAAAGTATATAATTGGTATACGGAATGAATTAACCAACAATTACTATTTTAAAAGATTTACAAAGTAGAGCAGATATAATTATTTTTTATAACATAAAATGTTATAAAATCACTACAAAATAGCCATTTTCCTTTTTCTGTGTCTTATCAAGGATGGTGTTGGGGTTCTTGTCCAAAAGTTGGACTTGGTTGGATTATTTCTTTTATATAATTTAAGTGCCTTCGATTCTTTTCAGATAGTGTAGGATTATATAGAGATGATGGATTATTAGTTGTTAAAAAACTCAACTAAAAATTTTAGGAAAATGATCTATAGGGTATTTTTTAAGGACAAATTACTAATGTTAGACAAGTAGATTTTCTAATGTCACTAATCTTGCTAACAATATTTTCCCAACCATATGTGAAAGTTAATTCCAACCCAATACGTTCATCCTAATTTCCAAAATCCCCTTCGGTTATCAAACATAAACTTCCATTGAATTTAGAATTTAACTCTTATAATAAGGAAAATAAACATAGTGATTTTTATAATTCTTAAAAATAGTGGATAAAAAAATATTCAATATAAAAAACCCCCAACCATAATAAGAAAAGAAGATCTAGAAAGGTTATTTGATTCCTCCCCTTTCAATGTTATGGTCAAAAAATTAAGTTAGGGCGTATATTTATTAACCTAATCAAAAAACATTTCCCCAACCCTGAAACTAATAATTTTTAAAATATTTAATCCTAATACCTTAAATTAAGCTATAGTTTTGCTGGATAACCTAGAGCAGATAATTAAAACATAACAACATAGTCTTTAACAAAATTCAAAAGGCTTGACTAATCAACAGGTTACTAACTGCAATAATAACTATAAGAATACAAATTTATGTAATTGTAGGAATCGAATAATTGTCCACTACAAAATAACTGTGGGATTATTGTAGTCTATCTTGGTACTATTTCAACAATTCCAAAATCCAAATATAAAGAAGTTTTACATTGGTTCTACTATGAAAACATTCAAGGAACGCTGCGAGGGGGGCATAGCAATCCTTAAATCACAGTGAATACACCTTCATTATCCAAGTATTTTGGAATCTAAAAGATAAGAAAAAACACCACGATTAAATGGAGTTTGGTTATGAAACTCCATTTAAAACATACCTATGCCTTAATGAAAATTTGAAATTATTAGATTTAAAAAGCCTTGATCCAAAGATGACAGTAAAAAAACGTTATAAATTTAACTTAAAACTTTAAATGATAATGATAGCCCTGATAATAGAAAAAAAGGAAAATAAGTGTGTATTGTTTACCTGCATAGTGTTAAGTGTTGGTGTAAAACATATATATATTTATTTATGTGTTGGTTAGAGTATTTGCACTGAGGAATGTGTAGGTTGGTGTATAAATGTGTATTTATGGTTTTTTTTTTTACATGTGAGGGTGTGTGTTTGAAAAATGTATATAAAGTGTGTGTTATAATATATCAGAGACATAGATTAAAAAAAGGTTAATAACATTCTGTTAAAAATATAAAATTACCCTTGTATATATGTATGTATTTGTGTGGGTATGTGTAAAAGAATGTGAGATATATATATATGTTTGTATATATATATGTATATATATTATATTTTGTGTGTAGTATAAAGAAAATATATTATATGAACATATACAAGTATGTGTGTAAAATGTGTGTGTGTGTGTATGTGTAATAAAAAGATTAAATCACGACAGTATAATGGTTAGCCAGCATGGTGTCTAGATTGTCTTTAATGAAACGGATGTTTTCATACAAATATTTGGAATTATGTATGTGTGTAGTATGTGTGTATATATATATGTGTGTGCATATATATATATATATATATATATATATATATATATATATATATATGTGTTTATATATATGTTGTATATGATAGATAGGTATATTTAGATAGATAGATAGATATTAGTAATGTATTTTTAATAAGATTGTTTTTGCAGGTAGTTAAAAATATCAAATGACTTATGTATGTGTGTATATATATTTAATGTTTGTGTATGTATATATATATAGGTGTGTGTGGAACCTATTATGTATGAGTTGTGTGTGTATGTGTAGGTATGGAAACTTTGGTATGTGTGCATAAAAGTCTATGTGTGTATATATGTGTGTATTTAGAGACATGTACGTACATATGTATGCTCATAGATATGTATAGATAAATGTTTATATATTTATTATTTATCATTTTAAATGTTACGTAAAAAATGTATGTTGAATAT